CCTTCTCTTTTATGTCGACGAGCAACTCGGCAACAAATAAGGATACTTTTAATCTTGGAGTTCTTCTAGGAAAAAAAAAAAAGGCGGCGGAGGAAGTACCCTCACCCCAACCTTCAGGTTTCATACCGGTCGTCTCCGGTAGGCTTGAAGCCTGGAGGGGAAAGTGGCTGAAAACCTGGGCTAGACTCTCCTCCCGGAGGCTCAGTGAGCTCAGCAGTCACTGTTCGCGCCACCAGGCAAAACCCTCGCGGCCCCAAGCCCCTCTCCCTGGCGTCGGGCTATCGGCGCCTGTGCCAGACCCCGCGCACTATCTTTTATATGTGAGGGCCGATTTCCCGTAGACATCATTGTTATGATGGCTCATTTAATCAAACTGTTTAATTGCTCTGGTAATCACTATCATCGTCACAGGTGCTCAATCATTCATCATTTTTGGAGGGCTTTATTGACCTCTGGAGTTCATTCCCCGGCCCTATTAAAACGAGGCCAAATTTCTCCAACTCCGCTTGGAGTCTCTGCAGGCTGCGATCTTAGCCCAGTTTGTGTTGCTCGAAAGCTTACAGTGAAGCAGAGAAGATGGAAAGGGGGCCAAAAAGAAAAAAAAAAAAAACCCACAAAACCCTCCCACTAGTTCTCCTCCCTCCCTCCCTGTCTCTCTCTCACACACTCACATGCGCGCGCGCGAGCGCACACACACACACACACACACACACACACAGAGTACTTTATTCTCCCTAATCAACCTCCCCACTGTCGCGGGAAAGTCGGGTCGCAGCCGAGCACAGAAGATACCCTACTTTCTATTTTCCAGAATGGACTCAAAGTTGGGGAGGAAGGCGGCTGTTGAAGAACAACAATCTGTTCTCGACTCTCTGGGCGGTGGACCTAGAGAGCTGCAGCGAGAAGTTGGGGTGAGGCGCGCTCCCAGCGCAAGGCCGGGCCGGGCCGGGCCGCCGGGAGCCCAGGGGCAGCCGGGCTGGTGCGCCGCGCGCGGTGCTACCATAGCTCCGCCCCCAGCTCCGGGCTCAGCTTGATTGACGCGCTGCCGCCGGGAAACCGGCAGCGCAGAGGTGAAGCCGGGTGCTGCTCCGGCCAAGGATTGGACGAGACAAGAGCCTAAACTAGTTTCTACACTAACGGCGTGGGGTAGTTACCTTCCTTCCTTATTCTACTCTTTTTCCTTTTTGTAAATGTTCGTTTGGAGCCGGCCCCATCTGCCTGACCCCGCGAAATCACCCCGGTGTAATTAACACAGCCATTAGCAGGCGTTACTGCGGCCGTCCGCTAAGCCTCGGGCAACTACAACAAAGCTGGGCTGCGAGCGCCGGCCACTCCTAGCACTGTAACTTCTCTCTCTCCTTCGCTTTTCTTTCTCCCTATCTTTCCCTCTCGTGCTTCCCAGCTCTAAGTGAGATCCACTTTGGAGGCGCACTAGTCGCGCGCGCGCACTCTCTCTCTCTCTCTTTCACACACACACACACACACACACACACACCACGCGCGCGCGCACACACACTCTTGGCAGCATCAGACCCAAACGAATCTCTCCTCACTTCCTCTCAGTTCCACCGCGGCCCCCCGAAGACTCCTGGGGTGGCCCCTTGTCCACACCGCTTGGAGAGAGTGTGCTCCCAGTTATACTGGTCTCTTCTGGTCCTGAAAAAAAATGAAAATTGACAACAAGGGTCCTGAATCTGCACAGGAAGAAAGTGCCACTTAAAAAAAAAAATCTAGCCCAGCAGCTGTACGGTCCGCAAAGCCCGCTGCCCTTGGGTGTTAGCAGGAAGCCTTTGGGGCGTTGTGATCAGCGGGCAGAGAGTGAGGTCCGCGGAATTAAAAGGAACAAAAGCGAGAGCGCCATGCCAAATGGCCCGGACACGACCCAGTTAGGCAAGAGCTGGGAGTGATGGGAAAATGAACTAGAAGTTTAAAAAATAATAACGAAAAGATCTGAGGCTGTACCGTACTTTCCCTGTGGTTTTCTGCAGTTTTCCTCTCTGCGCTCTCCCTGTCCTCTTCCTCTCTCTTTCTCCTTCTCCCTCTCCCTCTTTCCCCGTTCTCTCGCGCGCGCACACACGCGCGCTCACGAACACACACACGCACACACACATTCTCTCCTCTTCCTCCCCTCCGCCCCCCTTCCCCGCCGTCCCCTTGGAGGAGCAGGCTCGCTGATTTGCTCGGGTCCGCCGGGCTCCAGCCTCCCCTCCCCCTCTAGCCCCCCCCGCCTCCCTCGCCCCCCCAACCAGGGCCGTCCGATCGCACTCGCTGCATATCAGAGGCTCGGCGCGGCGCGCTCCTCCTCGCTCCCGCTCCCCCACTCCCGGGATGTGTCTCCGCCGTACGACGGGCTATGGCCACCACGACTTCCGGGTTCCGTCATTTCGTTCTCCCGCCGCCGACCCGCGCCGCCAAACTGAGGCTCTTCTATAAGCCAGGCAGCAGCCAACCTGCCAACACCTACTGACACTCACTCATCTCCCAGAGAGAGAAAGAGAGCGAGAGAGAGCGAGCGCGAGAGAGCGAGCGCGAGTGAGAGCGAGCGAGCGAGCGAGAAAGAGAGAGAGGGAGAGACAAAATACCTACCAGGAAAGGGGGGGAGGAAGTCCAATTTTTGCAAACTACTCATTTTTTTTCTTGATTTTTCTCCCTGCTTTCTTTGAACAATACTTTAAAGAGAGAGGATCATATTATAGATACCGCGGGGGCAAATCTAAAAGAGGGGGGAGGGGGGAGGAAAAAATTCAAGAAGCAGAAACCCCTCGCGGAGTTTTACTGGAAGAAAAAAAAACGGGTCTGAAAGATTCCTCCTCTTCATCATCATCAACCATCATTCATTCACTACCTTGACATTCCGGGCTTTGATTGACAGCTGGAGTGGCAAAAAGCCATGAAACACGACAGTTCGGTTACATGTGGGCTGCTGACGGGCCGCTCGTAACCTTCAGTTCGGGGGCTTGACAATTTTTTTTTCTTCTTTTTCTTCTTTTTCTTTTCTTTCTTTTTTTTTTTTTTTCCAACTGAGGGCAACAGAAGAGAAAGAGGGGGAAAGGAGGACCGAAGAGGAGGAGGAGGGGAGGGGGGAGGAGGAGGAGGTGGTGGAGGAGGAGGAGGAGGAAGATCAGGAGGAGGAGGAAGAAGAGAAAAAAGGAGAAAAAGAAGAAATATCACAGAAAAAAAAAAAAACTCTTCGTTGTCTTGCCTGGGCTTTTTTCCCCCTAAAAATAACATATTGGAGAATTGGGAGAAGTCTCCTTGGTTTGGAAAAAAAAGGAATCTTCAACCTAGATCACTTTCTTATCCGGACTGGGATATTAAATATACGACACATCCAGGAGTTTATTGGAGCGCAGACTGATGGCGCAAAGGGTAGGTTTAAATCTCCAACACTTACCTAGATATAAATCCTCTCCTAAGAGGGGCCTGTCCCGATGCCTCCTCTCCCTTCAACGCTGCTGCTGCTGCTCGCTGCTTGATGATGGCGGCCAGTATTTTAAAAAATAGCAGCAAAATTATTCATCGGCTTCTTTCCCCCCCGTGCCTCTGCGTGTGTGCGAGTGTGTGTGCGTGCGTGTGTGCGTGTCTGGGCGCGCGTGTTCCAGCGCTGTGCGAGCGGGCGGGCGACGAGTGCGTGTGAGTGGTGTGTGCGTGTGCAATTGTTACACGCTTTCGCCTCGCTCCAGCTTTTACCCCAGCAGCGCGATTCCCCCGGTTCTCCTGCTGCCGCTGCTGCGCCGCTGCCGCCGCTGCTCCCGCGGCTCGGGGCGGGCACGGGCTGCGTAGGAGCCGCCGCCGCCGGGGCCGCCGCTGGGGCCGCGCTGCCGCAGCCGCTGCGCCGCCGCCTAGACTAGCCTGGGCTGCTTGTTTTGTCTCTGAAATTGACAAGGACGCAGGGAATCCGCTGCTAAATAATGTTTCTGGTAACTTTCACGTTATTCCCCCCCACCCTCCGCTCCCTGCCCCCGGGGAGGCACTGGCCCTGCTCTTTCCTCGTCCTCGGCGTTCTCGTGCTGATTATTAGCGTTTTTCTTCTCTTTATTTTGTTTCATTTCGCCTTTTGATTTATTGGATCCTCTAGAGGAGGCGAAGGGGGGTTAGGGGTGGGATCCGGGGCTTCCTCCTCACACTAACTCCACTTCTCCCTCGGTTGGCTCGCTATGGTTCTGCTGCCTCCGGCGGGAGCGGGGCCTCCCGGCGCCCCCTCAAACCCCGGCCTCACAGCCTCCTCTGCCTTCTCTAAACGCTGCTCTGGGCTCATACTTTCTCATTTTAAAATCTAAAAGCAGTTTTCCCCCTACAACTTTCAACTCCGTTGTTTCGGCTGGTTTGGTTTCTGTGTGATCAACTTGTGCTCGGTACTTTTCTTCTTTCTGACTTTGTTTTTATTTTTATTTTCCCTTCTCTCTCTCTCCTCCCCCTCCTCCTCTCTCTTCTCTTCCTCCCTCTCTCTCCTCTTTATCCCTTCCCTACTTCTCTGTTCGCTTTCTTCTCTCTGCTCCCCCCCCTTCTCTCTCTCTCACCTCCTGCGCCCCCTCCCCCTACCCGGGTTCTGACAGTACGATGAGCTGCCCCATTACGGCGGGATGGACGGAGTAGGGGTTCCCGCTTCCATGTACGGAGACCCTCATGCGCCGCGGCCGATCCCCCCGGTTCACCACCTGAACCACGGGCCGCCGCTCCACGCCACGCAGCACTACGGCGCTCACGCCCCACACCCCAATGTCATGCCGGCCAGCATGGGATCTGCTGTCAACGACGCCTTGAAGCGGGACAAGGACGCGATCTATGGGTAAACCGACCCCCTGGACTCAGCTTACTGTGTGTGAGTGTGAGAGTGTGTGTTCGTCTCTGTGGGGTTGGAAGGGTGGACAACTGAGAGTTATTTCTGCTTGGTGGTGGTGGTGGGGTTGCTTTCCTTAGGAAAGGGCAGTGGAGAGGGCCTGCTCTTCTGGCCCTGGAGTCAAAGACCCGGAAGATACAGCCTCCTCCACTTTCATGGCCCGATCACTCCGGACCCCACATCCTAGAGTGACTGAAACCTCAGAATCTTGCCAGGGCCTCCTTCCCAAGGACAGGATTCCTGGCCAAAGGACTCAGGGTTGGTATTTTCAAGCCCCCTAACAGAGGCCTTGAAAAGGGGGAAAGTTTCCTACCGATGAGGAGCAACTTTGGTTTTTTGGCTTTTTGATTTGGGGGTGTTTCCCCCCCTCCTCCTCTCTTCTGTTTCCTACTGAGGGTCTGGGAGTCACTAAATGCAGCTTGAGCCGGGATCAGGGCTGCTTCTGTCGGCCAGGAAGTCCTAATCGCCCACTTCTTAATTCTCTGTAAATAAAGGGGGCAGACCTTGAAGGGCAGCGGGGTGGAAGGGACTGCAGCTTGCAGGGAGTCGCTCTCGGGGGGAGTAAGGGAGATTACTGGAAATTATTTCATGTTCTGAGAACATTCGGCTAGGGCTGAGATACACAGTTCAAACGTGTACCACACCGGCTCTTCCGGCTGAGGGTAGGTGGAGAAGGCAGGGGATGACCAGGGGCAGGGACGGTGGGTAAACAGCAACTGAGCCCAAGCCAGAGGCCTCAAGCATCCCGAAGTGTAGCTAAACCGCCCCAGGAACACAAAGGGGATAGTGCGCAGCACACTTCCAAGTTTTAAAACACAATTTATTTATTTTTGTCTGCTGCAACGCTGGGCGAAATGTGGTCTTTGGAAGGGAGCACTTCGGCGTGTGACATTCCTATTATTTTGGCCCCCACACCAGGGTTTTACTAGAAGTAGGGCAAACAAGTTTATAAGGCAAAGGGGTGGAGGGGGTTTGAAGAGCACTCTCTCGGATTTAGGAAATGTCACTCCGGTGTGTGTGTAGGTGAAGTCTTCGGCTTCGTCTGAAATGTCCATTAAAAGGCGGAGTTAATTTTTTATTTCAAAGAGTGTGCCTTTCTTGGGAGGTCAGGGCTGGGTCGCAGGGGTTGGTTCAGCGGCCTCCGTAGTGAGTCTGAGTCAACTCCAGGCTCCAGCTTGCCTGAGCTTCTTGGATGTTTCCCTACGTTCCAACTAGGGCTGTTTTTATTTGGCGGACTAAAGTGGCCAGGGGCCTCCTCTGGCCGTATCTGAGGGACTTCTGAGCTGAGGGAAAGGGCCAGGCCCCTTTTCCTTTCTGTTTCTGACCCAGGCTCGGCTGACTGAGGAAGGCTTGTAAAGTGTGATGTGTGCCTGTTGTATTAAAGAAGGAATCCAAACCCTCCAAACTTGTTGATTACAGTTTTCGCTCCTTCCCCTCTGCACCCGGTCTCTGTGTATGTGTCTCTGCGTGGCGCTGCCCGTTAGGCACCCGTTGTTTCCTCTGTTAGCTCTGGTCTTTGAGAAGTGCGAGCTGGCGACCTGCACTCCCCGGGAACCCGGAGTGGCCGGCGGAGACGTCTGCTCCTCCGACTCCTTCAACGAGGACATCGCCGTCTTCGCCAAGCAGGTCCAACCTCCTTGACCCCCTCATCCTCCTGCAGCCCTTCACTACCCACCCCCCTTTCCTCGGAGCTTTATTTGAAAGGAGGAAAAGGCAGGGACACCCGATCTGTTCCTCTGGCCCAGTCCACTCTCCACGCCTCCTCCCCATCCCAGAGCCTGGAGGCGAATTGGAAGCGGAGATAAATATGGGTGTTTGTTTTCCCCCCCAGCAGGAATACAGGGGCTCGACCCTCGAATTAAAGTTGACCTGCTCCTAATCTGGGGCTTGGCCTTTCCCCTGCCTGCAGCTACTTGACCAAGAATTGGGGAGCAGGGCTGTGAGGGACCTGGGAGTGCCCGGGAGGCAAGGAAGCTGGGCGCCTCTGAAGCGGTCCCGTCAGGGGCGCGGAGGTGAGGGAGGAGAGACCGCAGGCTCTTGGAAGGCTGGACTAGGGGTACTCGGGGCTCAGAGAATGGCCCTGACTTCCCGGCTGCAGCTTATCCTGTTAGGTCCCCCTGAGCCGGGCCAGGACCAGAAAGAAGGCCCTGGTTCTTTCTCAGCAACCCCACTAATTTAAGTAAAGCACCAGT